TTTTTTTTAACGGTATCAGTAAAAAAAAAAAAAAAAAAAAGGACAGGTTGTTTTGTCGATATTAATACTTGCATCATATCGCATAGTTGGGTGTGATATATTGATTCTAGTAACTGATATAACTCGGTATGAATATCTGTGTATCTTAATGCTTCAATTAACAGGTCTGAAGAACAAAATGTGAATAGGATCGGTTATATCAGTAAAATACCGGTGCACAGACGCCCCGAAAAGCGCATATGTGGCCAAAGAAAGGACTATTTTTGAGAGGTCAGTGCAGGTACCCTCCCCCCCCATCCTCCCTCCCTCCCTCTCTCTCTCTCTACCTCCAGTCCCCTTCCTCCCTCCCCCTTCCTCTCCTTTTCCTCCCTCTCTCTCTCTCCTCCCCCCTCTACCTCCCTCCCTCTCCCCCTTCCTCTTTTCCTCTCTCATTCTCGAAAGTTGATTGAGGTGAAAGTGGTGGCTTATTAGACTCACCTGCGAGGGAATCCCCAGGTGGCATTCACTGAGAGTGGGGAGGTGGGGGAGGAGGAGGGGCATGAGGGGAGGGTGGGGAGGAGGAGGGGCAATGTGGGAGAGGGAGAGGGGTGGGGGAGGAGGAGGGGCAGGGTGGAGGGTGGGGGAGGGGTGGGGAAGAGGAGGGGCATGTTGGGAGGGTGGGGGAGAGGGGGAAGAGAAGAGGGGCATGTGGAGGGTGGGGGAGGTGGAGGGGCATGTGGGGAGGGCAGTGAGGAGAGAGGAAGAATATCCATAGAAGACGAATATGAGACTTGGTGACAAAGTGAAATATATGTATGTGAGAGAGAGAGAGAGAGAGAGAGAGAGAGAGAGAGAGAGAGAGAGAGAGAGAGAGAGAGAGAGAGAGAGAGAGAGAGAGAGAGAGAGAGAGAGAGAGAAGAGAGGAAGAGAGAGAGAGAGAGAGAGAGAGAGAGAGAGAGAAAGAGAGAGAAGAGAGAGAAGAGAGAGATGAGCGCGTCACCTGCGTGTTCCTGGAGGGGAAGGTGAAGGTGATGGTGGAGGTGCCAGGCCGGCTGGGGCTGCTGCAGATGGCGGCCACCGTCGACGGGTCCAGCTTGAGGTCGTCCGCCGCGCGCGCCGCCTCCAGGAAGTCCTTGGTCTCGAGCTCCTCGACGCGCCGCACCGTCGTGCCCACCGTGACGAGGGCGCCGCGGGCGAAGTGGGCGTGGTAGGGCGAGGCGGGGCGCGGCTCTTCGGGCGGCGTCGCGGCGGGGGCGGCGGACGCTGAGGCCGAGGCGACGGGCCCCCGATGCGGCGCGGCGCGGCAGCGGAGGGCCCGGCGCGGGCGGCGGCGCGGACGGAGGGGGCCCCGCCCCGGCACCGGAGGGCCCGACACCGCCAGGGCCGAGTGCCCCCTGTGGCCGGCGCGCGGGGACCTCGGCGCCGGCATCGGGAAGGCGGAGGCGCCCGCGCGGCGCTTGGGGCTCGGCTCCCCGTGCGGGCCCCGCGGGGAGGGCTCCCCCGGGGGCACGCCGGGGCTCACGGGCAGCGTCAGGTCCGGCGGCCGCGGCCGCATCTTCCCGGGCGGCGGCGGCACGTCCCTGAGGTCCCTGGGGTCCCTGGGGTCGGGGTGGAGTCCGCGCAGGGGCGGCGGCGCCAGGGGCCGCATGAGGGGCGGCGCCGCCGACACGGGCGTGGGCCTCTCGAGGGGCGGCCGCGGGTCCAGCGGGGGGGTAGGGGCGGGCGCGCCGGCGGGGTAGTCGCGCAGGAAGTGGCCGGCGGCGGCGGGGGCAGGAACGGGTGCGGGTAGTAGCCCGCGGGGCGGTGCGCCAGGCTGGGGTAGTGCGGGTAGTAGTCGGGCAGGGAGGGGGCGGGGGGCTGCGGGTAGGGCAGGTGGTCGCTGGGGCGCGCGGGCGTGATGTGGGCGACCTCGGCCAGCCAGGGCGCCGTGAAGGGCTGCAGGTGGTGCGCGTGCGCGTGCGGCCCGAGCGCCCCGCCGGAGCTGCCCTCCTTCTCGCTCAGACTGTTCTTGTTGTGGTCGTAGGCCCCGGCGACGCCCATGCCCGCCTTGTACACGGCCACGTCCGACTTGTACGTGGGCGCGGGGTTCGGGTCTGGCAGGCCCAGGGTCGGGACGCGGGCGGCGGGCAGCAGACGGCCGCCCTCGCCCATCTCGCGGCTGTAGGTGGGCGTCACAATCATGCCTCCTGGAACGAGAGAGAAACGAGTCAGTGGGCGGACGCGACAGGACTCCTGCGGGACTCCCCTCGGACGCCGGAGGAGAGCCTCGGGGGCGAGCGAGGGAAAGTCGCCGCCGGAGAGACGTGTTCGATGCGGGAACCTCCTGCCCGTCGCCAGGGCGGGCGTCCCTGGCACGTGGCACCAGGCGCTTACTTGCGCAAAATACCTTACCTGTCATTCCTTGCTTTCGTAATTTATCAAATATAAATGTATACATATACATATATATACATACATACATACATACATATATATATATATATATATATATATATATATATATATATATATATATATAATA